CATGCAATGCCAGGTAACTCAGCTAGTATATATATAGCAAGAAAAATACCAACATAATTAGAAACTAGCTTTTCAGTGTGCTTTGGATCAAAATAATCCTAAGGTTATCGTTTCTTTTAAGAAATTAAGGATAGTTAAGTAATATACTTGTAATTTCAGGATTGTGAAATACACTGTGATTCATGTAGATGTTCTTTATAATTCCAGTTGTCTTTGGAAAGAGTTTGAGTAAGAATGAGTAGTAATTGGGGTTCCTGTTCAGCATGCCTTGCAGGTCAAGGGTTGTCAGTTGTTGGGATAGATTTGGTTTGGTTGAGGGCTCTCTGAACAGTGTATTTAAGGCATTTTCCATTTACAATAATCCATTTGGTAAAAACATAATCTTTATTATGTAATCTGCATACGCTTAAAGCCTGAACTATGGAATGGAATTATTAGTGTAATAGGGATTTGTAGAACTATGAAGATAATTGTAAGAGTTGTTAAGTTTGTAGTAAACTGGAGTAGTGACCTAAAATAGTAGTTTCAGTATCTATAAAGGTTTGATAAGTCTATAGAGCCATTTTACTTTTCTTGCTAAACTATAAAGGAATCTATTGACACTGTTTTAGATAGGAACAACTAACATTATATATTTTAAAGAATCTGGTTAGTTCTGTAAACAAAAACTATGTTCCAAATAATAGGGTTGCAATCCTAAAGCTAGTGTGGGTTACTATCGAGTGTCACTTTCTGGAATAATGGTTACTTGTAAGTTTACAGACTTAGGAAATAAAAATCATATTGTGTAGATACACCACTATTAATATTGCCATAAAATGCACACTAATATGAGTTTCATAAGTCAATTGAATGCTTTAATTATCATAACAGTATCAGGACTTGACCTTAATTTGTGAAGCCATTAAAAAATTATTGTTAGTTATTTTTTTACCATTAGCAAATTCAGGAATGCTGCTGCAGTAGCAGGGCCAGTAGTAAAAAGTCGACTGTAAATCTGAGGTTCTGTAGTTTGTGCCCAGTTACTGCCAAAAGATTAAAAAAATCATGCTTCAAACTTTGGGGTGATGGGTACAGAGATGGATGTTATAATACAGAGATGGGTAAATCCCCACTACTGATATACAATAGCCAAGTGGAGGCAGATGATGTTGACTAGCTGCTTACTCTCTGGTCTATCATGTCAAAATTAGGAATGGCCAGTGTAGGTAGCCCTCACATAGCTTTGCATGAAATTCAACGAACAACATCTACATTGGCAACAACATTATTCTTCTCTGAAATAAACTGTCTTCATTAATCATTTAATATGTTAAATGCTAGCATATATATGTATATCCTATTTATATCTATAAATTTTCTGTGTCATGTTTTTAAACATCAAACTCCTTTTAATTACATGTAATAGTTTTTATTTTAACTCCTTTACAAAAGTTAAAAGATGCTTGATTTTGGAGGAGACTGGTGCTTGTAGGCCATGAATGCTTGGATCGATGAAGTCTACAGTTCCCACGAGCAACAACCACCCTACACTGGAAAAAGTATTTTTATTATTAAAAGCTGTAATTTAAATGTTGAAAGCTGATGAAGTATTAGTAGCCTATAGGTCAGAAATACTACTCTCCTCTACACCAAAATGAGTTTTTATTTTGTATGCACACTGCAAAAGCCTCCAAGTGAATGTGAAGCATGCTAATGAACAAAGAAGGTGAGTAAGAGATGATGACAAGTAGATGAAGAGGAAGGAAAAAGAGATTCTTAAACTGAAAGAAAAGAATCAGGTGAAGGAGGCTTATGCAACAAGGAGCCTGAGGTTTGGCAAGAAGTTACTGGCAAAGCAGAAAACAAAAGACACATACCTATAGAATCCAAACAGTAAGAGATATTAAAGGATAAAAGTTGGACTACCTGACCCATGTCCAGAAGAGGAAACAACAGTAGTGAAACATAAGATGGGGCAGGCTCAGATGAAGTAAAACGAGGAGGAGGTCCAGGATCATAATTTCAAGATCCAAATGGAATTGACTACATGGTGCAGAATAACAGTACTATCACTTACCATCAGAGTTCCTCCATTTGCCACAACAGTTTTGGATGACTCTTGTGAAGGAGTGTTAAAGAACTTGGGAGATGTCAGAAATGTAGAAACATGAATTCATAATCCAGTGAATCCACAAAAATAGTTGTGGCAGTCTGCTTTTGTAAAATACAAAAAAGACAGATTTTTTATGTTACTCAAGAAGAAAAAAATGAGCCAGAACAACAGGAACAATGGGACATCTGTTCTAAAAGTACAAAGTCGATTAAGAGAAAATCAAGTTGAAGATAATTTGAATGAAAGTCCTAAATTATAAGATTAAAAGTTTTGTATTGTTCTTTCAAAAAATCAAGAAAGTTAAGGAAAGAAAGACTATATGATCAATAATAATTAAAGGTTAAAACAACAGGCACAAAAATTTCAGTAAATGTAATGGGGAAAAAAAAAAGTTTGAAAACAAGCTGTGTCAAGGAAAAAATGAACCTGTGTTCATGTGCTTTTGCTTATGTATTTATGTGCATGGAGGATATGTCACCCTCCTATTGGTGGAGGGCTATAGACAGATGCAATACTCATTAACACGTGTAGAAGTGGGAACTTTGTTCAAGATTTCTGGCACACGCAAAACATACATTGCAATGTGCATAATTTAATAGCTCTTTGTGGTGCAGAGAGATATCTGTCTGAAATAAAATTAAAGGTAAAGAAAATTCTAATGCTTAGCATTTGTGTTAAGAGGAATGTGGAATAAAATATCTACAGTTTATGTGATTTCAATTTTATTATTGTTTTCAGTGAGCAACCACCTTGACACAGTATTGCTAACCATTTTACTGGCAAAATGTCACTGCATGTGCTAGATGGTGTGCATCTAGCCAGCTGGTCCATGGGCTTATTGCCTTGTTAATTAATCAAATGAATTGAAGCTATGTTCTTGTTGTTTCCATTTTCTGATACTTAGATTGGGTATCACATGGAGCTTAAATGGAGATTGCAAAAGCAGCATTAGATGGGCAAGTGAAACTGTCTTGTCCAATTTAGTAACCTTCCCTACTCGAAATCTGTGGGGTATATTAATATTCAACTGTAAGATTTTATAAATTTTCTTTGTGAAACGTGTACTAGGAATTTTCTAATTTACTAGTATTAATTTTGAGCCCTGAATATTTAATTTAGGACAATTAGGTTGGATATGTTTTTGCAGTAGAAAAGAGACTGACTTTTATTCTTTATTCTGCTTTGTTCACAGAGTACCAGTTGATTGCTTTCATCAGTCATATGGGCTCATCGACTTTAGTTGGCCACTACGTCTGTCATATCCTGAAAGAAGGACGTTGGGTCATCTATAATGATAATAAGGTTGCTTTATCAGAACACCCTCCAAAGGATTTAGCATATTTATATGTATTCAAAAGACTATGAGAATATTTTGTTGGAAATTTGTTGGAGATAATTCTTTTTCTCTGTGCTTTATAAACAAGCCAACTTAAATATTTATAGTACTTTAATGCTATAAAAATATGAATTAGATAAATTCAAAGTTAAACAGGATATCTGCTCTTAATAATTTGTTCCAATGTTGTTAAAATGAAAAGGGAGAAGTAAATTTTTTTTGGTCACAACATTTTCCTCACTTAAGTCAGTCAGTTCTATGTACTAAAAACATGCCTATTAGCAAGTGTGTTTAATAAAAAATATAATATTTAAGTTTGTTGTACAAAGTTCTTTTTTTTTTAATTTCACATTCTAATAATATTGCTTTCAACAGGGTGATCTTGTCAATTATCATAAAATTAACTATTTGGTTCAAAATAAATATTTCTTTGATTTGAAATATTCTGATACAATCACTCACCTCCATACACAGAAAACTATTTTCCTTTTGAAATTGCAATAATCTCCATGAGAAACTTACATGCAACCAGTCTTATAAAAACTCCCACTTAAAATTCAGGTGAGTTGCAGGAAATTGGGCTACTGTATGATGATGTATCAAGTAGCAAAACCCTCCACCAATAGGAGTGTGACACAACTCCTTGCACAAATGCTCCCTCTACATTCGTGCATGAAATATATCCTCCTTTTTTGTTGCATGGATGAGTTTAGATGTGTCTGTTTTTGCTGGGACTTATTGAAAAATCTACTTCAGCAACTTTACTTTGTATTTTCGACCTTTCAATAACAGTTCACATATTACCTGTTGAGATCATTACAGCCTTCATATAATACAAAAGGTGCTGTTCAGGTTAAAAATACAGTAAGAAGAGTAATGTTGTATTATTCCATTGAGGTTATTCCCCATGCTTCTTTGAATTCTTCACAAGGAGTCATTGTTGAGAGGGACTTGAAGAACATCTCTAAGTCAGAGATCCACACTGGTTTCTCCAGTCAAGGAGTTTCAGCAGTTTGAAGGATCTCCATTCGTCAAGATGGAATTATGGTGCCGACCACTGTTCTCATTTTGACATTTTCATCACCACATCCACCTGCCGCTGTGAAGGCAGGTTATTTGAACTGTAAGGTACAGCCATATATTCTCAACTCTCTTCGATGTTTCCAGTGGCAGCAGTTCAGTCATTCGAAGGCATCTTTTCGTGTTTCTGTGACCTGTGTTTGTTGTGGTGGCAAAAACCATGACACCAATGAGTGCGAACTGGACCCTCACTGTGTTAATTTTAGTAGTTCCCACCCCTCTTACTTTTGGTCTTGCCCTAAGTAGGTGGAGGAGAAATAGGTTCAGCATTTGAAGACTGTCACACAACATTTCTTACCCCGAGGCTTGGAAGCTATTGTTCCCTACTCCATCTCAAGCTAATGCCACTGCACTACGCTCCACTGCTACAGTGGGAGTGCCGACGGACTTTCCATGCCTCCACTGAGTTTTTTTTCACGTCATGTGAGGAGTCTTCTGCCCTCCATGGATAACAGAGTTGACCAGTCTACATCTACTCCAATCTCTGTCCCCACTATTCCAGTGACTGCCTGGGTCCACCTCCTATGGCATCGGCCTTCAGTGTCTTGGGTCCTTCTTCTTTGGCCCCTGAGATGCAGGATGACCATTTGATCACATCCTCGGTCACTGGATTCCAAGTCTGATGACAGAGATCTGCCCACTTGACCAAGGGCAGGATCCATGGAGGTCGATCGACCTCCTTCTAGTAAAGAAAAATGGTATGGTCATAAACCAAAGGGTTCTCCACCCAGTTCTTCTCCACCTACATAAAAATGGCCACTTTGATACAGTGGATGACATTAAGGCCTTGATTGACTCCTATCATCCCGTGTGTCACTCTTTACAGGAAACATTTCTGAAACCCGCCAATATTGTCACTTTTTGGCAGTTTTCTTTGTACCAGAATGACAGGTTGTGTGATAGACGAGCACATAGAGGGGTGGCTTTGCTGGTCGACCAGTGTTTGCTCTCCTTATCTGTGTCACTCGACACACACTTGTAGGCCATCACCATCCGTGTTTCCTTGGGTCGTACCATCACTGTTTGTTCTCTCAACCTATCTCCTGGAGAGACTTATGATCAATCGGAACTTGATGCTCTCGTTGAACAGTTGCCATCTTCCTTTTTAATCTTGGGAGACTTTAACGGACACAACCCCCTCTGGGGTGGTGCTGGTATTGATGGGAGGGGTCATTCCATAGAGCATATGCTCCTGGATCACAACCTTTCTCTCTTCAATACTGGATCTTATACGTATTTCCATGCACCTAGTCAGTCTTTCACTGCCATAGATCTCTCGATCTGCTCCCCTTCACATTTCTTGGACAGTTGACTGATCCATGGGGCAGTGATTATTTTCCTCTCATTTTGAGAGAGATTGGGCATGGTTGATGCCACCTGACCCGAGTGCCTCGGTGGAATTTGTACTAGGCTGACTGGCTCTCTCACTGCTCTCTCCGAACTTGATCCTGCCATTGTCTATCTGTCATCAGTATATGACTGTGTGCTAGCAGTGACTGACTGTATCATCCAGGCAGCTGCTCACTTTATTCCTAGGACCTCAACACGGTATATTCTTCCATGGTGAAGTCCTGCTTGCTGGGAGGCACAGAAGACTCAAAAATGGACCTGGGATACCTTCTGCCAGTACCCCTCTATTTCTAACCACATAGTTTATCAGCAGGCTTGTGCCCATGCTCAGCAGGTTCAATGTCAAAGCCAAAGGGAGTCTTCGATTAAGTTCACTGCTAGTATCTCTTCTACCACCAGTTCCAAAACCATATCGGACAAAATTCGGAAAGTCACTGGGAGGTATGCTTCCCTTCCCCCTTTCCATCTTACTCTCCAATGGCCAGGAAGTTGCTGATGTCCAGAGCATTGCTGATGCTCTTGGCCACAGCTTTTCTCGTACATCTAGCACTTCTGTTTCTTTCCCTGTTTTCTTGGCCATCAAGTTTCAGGCAGAGTGATCACCTCTTTCCTTTCAGGTCAATAGTCTCTTCGATTATAATCGCCCCTTTACACTGGTGGAACTCAAACTTGCTCTTCATTGGTCTGGCAGTACATCAATCAGACCTGATGATGTTTATTATGAAACGCTGCGCCATCTCTCTCCTGCCTCTCTTGCTATTCTTCTGGTTATTTTTAACTGGATCTGGCAAGAATATGTTTTTTTCTTATGTTTGGCACCAGGCTATTGTCTTCCCTTGCTTTAAACTTGGAAAAGATCCCAAGATTCCTTCTAATTATCATCCCATTTCCTTGACTGGCTGTCTTTGTAAGGTCTTAGAGAGGACGATTAATGCTCGTCTTGTTTGGATCCTTGAATGAAACACACTCTCTCTCGCACACCTAGGCTGGGTTCCGTCAACAGCGCTCCACCGTGAACCATCTGATTCAATTTCAAACGTTGATCAGAGAAGCTTTCCTCAAGAGAGAACATCTTGTTTCTGTGTTTTTTTATCTTGAGAAGGCTTATGACACTACATGGAGGTATGGCATTTTGCAGGACGTCCACTCCTATGGGTTGCGTGGCCATTTACACATTTTTATTCAGAACTTTTTACTGGACAGGTGATTCCAAGTCTGTGTGGGTTTGACTCTTTTCAATTCCTTTCCACAGGAACTCAAAGTCCCTCAGGGCTGTGTCTTGAGTGTCACACTTTTCAGTGTCACAATTAATGCTCTCGCTACACACCTTTTTCCAACTGTTGCAAATGGGCTCTATGTCGATGACTTCCACATCTCGTGTTGGTCGTCAAACATGAGGTTTATTGAGTGGCAGCTTCAGACTGCCCTCAATTGCTTGTTGATGTGGACCACTGCAAACGGTTTTACATTTTCTTTTTCCAAAACCGTTTGCATGCATTTTTGTTGCCAATGGTGTCTCCACCCCGATCCTGAGCTCCATCTCGGCGATGTTGTTATTCGTGTGGTTTCTTAGGCAAAGTTCTTGGGGCTCATCTTTGACCATAAGCTTACTTTCATACAACACATCAAGCAGCTACATGTCAGGTGTACAAGGGCAATGAACTTCCTCCGTGTCCTCTCTTCCACCTCTTGGGGAGTGGATCTATGTTCTATACTCAGGATCTATCCCTGCCTGTGACCTTTCTTTGAGTCATCTGAGGAAGGAGGCTACTCCCAACTGGAAGTATCATCTAATCTTTGCAGAACATCTCTCAAACCATCCTTCTATTCCCATTTACACAGATGGTTTGAAATTGAGTGACTCTGTAGGCTCTGCCATGGTTTCAAATGGTTCGGTAGTTGCTCGCAAGATCCCCTCTACAGTTTCTGTGTTCATTGCTGAGTTGTGTGCTATTTCTCTTGCCCTGGATCACAGTAATTGTGCTATTTACACTGATTCTACTGGCCCTGGAATTGCTTAACATTAGTTCTCACCCTGTTCTCGTCTATATTCAACATAGACTGGCCCATTTTTCTCTATCTTCCATTTCTATCCAGTTTTTCTGGATACCTAGCCACGTTGGTATTCGCAGGAACGAATTTGCTGACACCATAGCTAACTCCATCTGCACTGGCGCCGTTATGTCCATACCTGTTCCATACATGGACTACGGTCCTGTATTCAAGGTGAGGCTTCATGCCAGTTGGCAGTCGACTTGGGGTGAGAAATTTCATAACAAGCATTTCCAGATCAAACCTTCTGTTGCTCTCTGGCCATCTTGCTTCTATAAGGATTGGAAGGAGGAGGTTGTCCTGGCAAGGCAATGCATTGGTCACAGTTTTTGAACTCATCGTATTCTTTTATCTGGTATTGACCCACTAGTGTGTAGCCTTTGTGACACTCAAGTCACAATAGCCCACATTTTACTGTCGTACTGTCATTACGACCGTGAGTGGCGGCACCATTTTAGACGTGTTTTGTAAAGGTTTACCCCTGACGTTGGACAGTGTCATTGGTAATGGTGACACTGTCCAACTTGATTGTATTTTCAATTTTTTAAGAACAATTGGTCTTTTTAATTCTCTTTAACTCTTTTACATGTTATTTGGACATATTTTGGTTTTAACTCAATTTATTTTTACATTTTACTACAATTCACTTATTCTGTTTTTACTGGTTGTTTGGCACAGATAGCCTAGTTGCTTTGCACCATAAAACACCAAACAACCAACCCTGTTTTTACTAAATTATTTATTGTGTAATTATTTTAGCATTGCACTCCTTTTAATTGTTTGTGTGTGTATATTGCACAAGTGCTATTTCAAAATTATTTTTTATGAAACT